AGTGGGACCCCCCAGGCAGGAGTGTGAGGATTCCTGCCCCAAGGAGGAAGGAGCAGCACAGCCCCCGTGTGCTGAGCTCACTGCAGCCCCATTCCCTGTCCCCCTGCAGGGGAGAAGGGAGAGAAAACCAGGAATGTGGTTGAGCCTGGGAAGAAGGGAGGGGTGGGGGAAGATGTTTTGGGATTCAGGGTTATTTCCCATTGCCCTGCTCTGACTGGATTGGGCATAGATTTGATTTCCCCAGTGGAGTCTGTCCCGCCTGGGATAGTCACTGGGGAGTGATCTCTCCCTGTCCTTATCCCAATCCATGAGCTTTTCCTTATCTTTTTCTTCCCTATGTGGTTGAGGGGGGCAGTGGAAGTTGTCCCTGCCCACAGCATCACGGGATGAGCTTCAAGGTCCCTTCCAACCCCAATCCCTCCAGGATTATGAAAGCCCAGCTCACTGTGTTCCAGCTGCTCCTTCCCAATCCATCAGTGCCACTTGTTGTCCTGTCCCTTCCTACACACCAGGCACTGCTGCTGACCCAGGACCTACCTCAGGTCCCCTCCATTTCCAGCTTTGGAACGTGCATTGGAAGTTCTGCCCAGATTATTTGAGTTGGATTGGAAAACTTCCTTTCTCCCTCTCCAGGTTAAAGCCAGACCAGTTTGGAACCTCCTGCTCCTTCTTATCCAAACAGCTTCTCCTTCCCAGATGTGGATCCCCAGCTCCAACCAAGCACAGCCCACACTTGGGCTCCAAAAAGTGTTCCAAAAAGCAGAGGAACCTGAAAGCACAGAAGAAGTGAAGCAGCTCCTGCCTCCAACCCGATCCAAGGGAAAGCTGGGAGCCAGAGAGTGATCCCTGTAGCCAGGCTGCCAGCCCAGGAATTGGGAGATGCTCCAATTCTGTCCCACTTCCCATCCATTTCCTTCTACACCGAGTCAGTCCTCTGAAACAAAAAGAGCTCTGTTAAAATGCACCTTTTCCATGAAATCCATATAAGTCCTTTCAGTTTATATCCCACTCACCTGGAATGGGCTCCTCGGGCCTTCTGGGGATTCTGTGGATGGAAAGCAAGGGCTGTTCCTTTCCCCCCAGAGCTCCCTCAGTGTGGTTCAGAGGGAGACAGAGAGGGCACAGGTCCAATATTTTCCCTGGCCGTGCCAGGTGTATCTGCTGTCCTTCCCAGGGAACCGAAATTCCTTCTGTCTCTGGATTTGGGTCGTATCTGTTATTTCAGGGATTTAAGTTGTTTCTCCTTTCCTCCCCCACCTGATCCTGTGCAGGGCAGAGTGAGACTGAAATGAGAAGGATATTGGGAAGGAATCCCCATCCCTGGGAGGGTGGGGAGGGGCTGGGATGGAATTCCTAGAGAAGCTGTGGCTGCCCCATCCCTGGAAGTGTTCCAGGCGAGGTTGGAGCAACCTGGGCTAGTGGAAGGTGTCCCTGCCCATGGAATGAGACGAGCTTTAAGGTCCTTCCAACCCAAACCCTTCTGGGATCCTATAAAACAATCCAGAAGGCACAGTCCCTGTCCTCCAGGGCTGGATGCCTTTCCAGAGGTGGAATCTCCTGTCCCATGCTCCATGGTGAGAAGGGCAGGAGCAGGGAGCACCAAGCAGAGGGTTCCACCCAACCAGCTGGACCGTGGCAGGATCCAGGCAACCCTGTGACCCCAATGTCCCTGTGGGCAGACCCTCCCCAGTCCTTCCTGCCTGTGCTCCTCAGCAGGCCAAAAAAATGCCAAAACCGGGGAAAGACTTGGGAGAGAAAAGCCCACCTGGCACTTTTCCTGCCACTTCTGCAGGACCCAGAGCTCCGTGAGCCCTGAACACCCCTGAGATGCCAAAGCAGCCCAAGCTGGCAGATCCCAGCCCATTCCCAGGCACACAGCAAAGCCCCATCTGTGGCACCCCGGGGACACCAACCAAGGCCACCCCGGGCCAGCTCTGCTTCACAGCTCCTCAATCCGGGGGGGAATTTCTCTCCCTCTTCTCCTTGGGAAGAGTTTCCCTCCTGTGGCTCTCAGATACAATTCCAGGCCAGGCTGCCAGTGGGATTTGGGTAGGAGGGGGTGGGAGCTAATCCCTCTTTCATCACGTTAAATTAAACCATAAACTAGACCTTTTTAATTCCTTCTGATGAAATTTCTCCCTGGAAAAGGGAAATGTTGTTTCTCTGTGTTTTTTCAGGGAACAGGGCAGGAAGCACTTTGGGGGAGATGTGCCTTGGTGTTGCAGGGAGTTATCCAGCACATTGTGGAGTTCTCCAAGAGCTGGAGGTCCTTCCATGGCTGGCAGATCCCGATCCATCCCTTGGACTAGACTGACTCACCTCCACACGTGCATTTGGAATTTGGGAAGAGGGAAGAGCACAAATTGATCTGAGATGGTCCAGCCATGTAAGACGTGTAAGGTCCCAGTGCCAACCCCTCCCCTTGGACTCTCCACATTCCCAAAAGCTCTTGGAACACCCTTTCCACAGCCCTCCTCTTCTGCAACATCAGGCTGTGCTGGTTCCTTCCTCAGTGGGTGGATCCAAGGTGCTTTGGGGGGAAAAAATAAAACAAAAATCCCTGGAATATTTAATACTTAAAGCAAAACAGGTGGAGTGACCCAGGGTAGCTGAGCCAGAGCAGAGGGAGCTCCAGCAGGAGCAGGTACCAGCTCAAGGGAGCAGAGAAATCCAGATGGGATTTCATCATGGCTGGGTTGGAAGTGGGATGTCCCGGGATGCAAACACCTGACGGGAAATCCCTGATTCCAAGGCAAAAACAGTGGTGCTGGTGAGGATAATGAGAGTGGAGAGTGCTGGAACCCCCTTCCCAGGTCAGCAGCCACAGTCTGGGAAGTGGTTTTTTTAGGAATAAAATGGGGTTTTTTGGGGGGGAAAAAAATGGGCTTTTAGTGGGAAGGAAATGGAGATTTCTGTGGAGAGGGGAGGGGTTTTTTTGGGAGGAATATGGGGACTTTTTGGGGGGAAATGGGTATTTTTGAGAGGGAAATGGTGGATTCCCAGAGCATTCCCAGATATCTGAGTCCTCCAGACATGGGGAGGTCCTGTCATGGCCCAGCCACTGTGTTTTGGGGATCCTGCCACCAGCTGGGAAATACTCCCCACCTCCCACCCTGCAGGGAGAGGAATGTCAGGCCCATGGGGAAACACAAACCCTGCTCCCCCACAGCTGCCAGGCCCCCTCAGCACCGGGGGGGCCTGACAACGTGAAGGGGTTTCAATCCCAAACCACCACTCCAGAGGATTTTCCTCGGCTAAGGAACCACCCCCACGCTGGAACACAACCCAAGGCAGGAGCGTGCCCAGCTATTCCCAATCCCTGTTCCCTGAGGCTCCTTTCCCCTTCCCGAGGCTGTTGTTGGCTGTTTCAGTGCTGCATCCTCAACCTGCCTTTAAAATGAACCCACTCCTCAGCTCCAAGGCTTTGATCCAGGTCTGGAAAACAAAAGCAACCCCAAGAGCTGAGGCTGGGGGATGTTAAATAAGTTATTAAGCCTCAGTACTGAACGATTCTTGTTTCAAGTGGCATTTGGTCCAGAAAGCAGGAGCAAATGGGTGGATAAAGATGCAGGAAGTCATTCCTAAGGTCTCCCAGGAGCCAAATCAGTGCCTGCAATCCCAAGCTTTCCACCCTGAGAAGGGCCAGGTGGACACGTGGCTCATGTCACCAGGCCAAGAACCCCCAGGGACACGAGCAGAGACAGGAGGAGGAGGAGGGGCTGGGGAGGTGAACTTATGGAATAGCTGAGGGAAAGGAAAAGTCAGGATTTCAATCCTGTTATCCCAGGGCAGAGCTGAGATCTCTGGAGAACACCCAGAACACCCTGCTGCTGCTCCAGCTGGATTCTGTGGATGCAGAAGGGCTGTGGGAGGGGAGCCAAGGGGTGACAAAGGGGGACAAAACCAAAGGGGGACGGGACAAATCTCTCTGTGCCCCTAAAGGGTGGCTTTTTAGCACTGGGAAGCTCTAAGGGGCTCGTGGGGACAAACACCACCTAAGCAGGAGTCTGAGCAATCCAGGATTTTTTGGTCCAGGTATTTAAAGGGAAAAGGGACCCCAAAAGTTTCCACCATCAGTTCTGGGGGACATCCTGCCCCCCTTTTCCTTTCGGGATGCAGTTCCAGAAATCAGAAAACTGGAGTGGCAAACACAAAGTGTTCTGCAAACACCCCCAAGTGTCACGGGCTGGTAAGAAGAGAACAGACCATTTCTCCTCTTCCTCCCCAGCTCCTCTAATTCCTGTCCCAAAGCCCCCAGGGCAAAGCCTCCCACCCTTCCAAATGTCTGCATCTGACCTGTGAAATACTCCCATGGTGGGGATGATCCACTGGGTGGGTCTGCAGGTCCAGACAGCAGGAAAAAAACCAAGAAGCAAAAAAAACCAAACCAACCAAAAACTCCTATAGAAACATCAATCACTAAAGAAAAATAAGGTCACTGGCACTTCATCCATGATCCAAGCAACTAAAAACCTTGGGAACACCCTTGCAGGGGACTAAAGCTCTGCACCCAGTTGTGTCCACACTAATACTCTTTGCAGGTTTAGGAGTGCCTAAAGCTGGACTCTCCTGGGCAGAACACCCAGAGGTCAGGAGGAAAACAGTTCTGACACCTGCAGCTCGCTCAGAAAGAAATCCCTGGAGTTATTCCCGCAGAAAAAGTCACCAGGACACACACTGGGGAGGAAACAGGCACTTAAATTAATCCTTTCTAAATGAACATATGCAATAAAAATGGAATTAACACCTGTGCAGATAAAACACTTCAGCTCCCTCACATGGGGATGCTCCAACTGCATTTTCACTTGGTCCTAATCAGATTCCTGATAGCTCTGAGCAGGATTCAGGAACCTTCTGACTGGCAGGAGGGGGGAAAAGAATCATTTAATCCCCATTTATCCTGTACCTCGTGTTGATGAGGAGAAGGAGATGTGGGGAGAAGTGGCCACAGAGGAGAAAAGGGCTCTGAAAACCTGGGAATGAGAAACAGCAGCTCCCACTTAAACAAACAAGTTATTTTAATAACTGCAACTTGAACATTCAAGTGAATATCATTTTAACCTGCAGAATAACATCTAAAAATCAATGTAATAACATTTTTAACACAATTTTAGGGTTCCAGTCCCTAAACATTTTAAATCTGAACAAGGCATATCTGCTAATTGGGATTTGGTGGGTTTTTTTGGTAGGAATGTCAGTGAGTCCCAAGGCTTTTTTTTTTTAGTCTTCTCTTTTCCCTCTTCTTCACTTCCTTGAAGCCTGGTTTATGCTGAGAACCATCCTCTGGATTTTTTCATCATTCCTTAAAATATTGGCTTTGACAGCACGAATCTTGTCCTGCTGGTCTTTAATCAACTGGTCCAGCTCAGCCAGCTCAGCTTTTAATGGTTCCAGAGCACTGTCTGTGACGCTGAAAGACAACAGCAGGATGTTGGTGGGAGCTCTGAGCTGCCTCAGCTTATTTAATCCTCAGAAAAAGGACACTGCAATACCTGAAAGGCTGCAAAGTATTTCATGGAATCATCAAATCCCAGAATGGTTTGGGTTGGGAGAGACCTTAATCATCTTGTCCCACCCCTGCCACGGGCAGGGACGCCTCTCCCTAGAGCTCCAAGCCTTGTCCAGCCTGGCCTTTAAGTTGTTCCCAACTTTCCTGAGAGACAGTTTGGAAGAAGCAGCACAACGACAGGGATAGGGGAGAATATTGTACAGGAGAGACCCCCATGAGGCAACAGCAAAACTCACTTCTTGGCTCATCTGGTTTAGCTGCTAAAACTCCAAAAGAAGGACCAGAGAAGCTGTGGCTGCCCCATCCCTAGAAGTGTCCAAGGCCAGGATGGGGCCTGGAGCAACCCGGGATGGTGGAAGGTGTCCCTGCCCATGGCAGGGGTGGAATGGGATGATTAAGGTCCCTTCCAACCCAAACCATCCAGGGATTCCATGATATAGAAACTGAGCCTCACCAGGGACAGACAATCCTACCCCAAGAGGAAATTTAATAAATTTAATGAATCCTACCCCAATAAACCACAACTTGCATCTGAAGTCCATGAGGCCCCCTTCCATAATTCTGCCAATCCTCAGGAATGCTGGCCAGCCAGGGAATGGCAGCCTGGAGGAGCCTGCTGTCACCCTGAATTCCCCAGGCACCCCAGGGCTCATCAGCTGAGATCCACAGCAACAACCCATTCCCCTTTCCCCTCCTTCCCACCACGGGAACCACCAAAAGCACCCCTACAACTTCCATGGAAGTTTCCCCACTGCAGCAGAAACAGAGCAAACAATGATGTGCATCCAAATCCCAGGACATTTGGGATTTGGGATTGTCTGATACTCTGGAATTCTTTCCTGTGCTGAGCTGATCAGGGTCTCACAGGAAACCTCGTTGTGTTCTAACCTACCAGGAGAGGAGCCAGCTGAGAATCCACCCATCTTGCTTCCACATGGATGAAGCACATGGATTCAGGGAGCAGCAAATCTCCCTGGGCAAGGCCAAGGAATCTGTTCTAACGTCACTCAGACCATGGAAGGACATGAGAATCCATGGCTGAACATGGGAATTCATGGAAGAACATGTGAATCCATGGCTGAACATATGAATCCATGGGAGAATATGGGAATTCATGGCTGAACATGTGAATCCATGGCAGAACATGTGAATCCATGGCGAAGAGTAGGCTGGGATTTAGGAATGCTCTCCCAGTCCTGACCCCAAAGCTCCTTTTTTTATCAGCTCTCCTCCCACTGCCCTTCCCACCTTTGGGAGAAGGAAGCCAAGGCCTGAGATGCCACCCCCATGTCCCTCTGCTCTCTGCACACCCCCTCAGACTGGGCTGGAGGCACTTCCCCTCTCCAAAGCCCACTCCAGAGCCCCAACCCACGGCAGGGACTGGGGACAAGCTGGCTTTGAGAAATGAGTCCGGCTCTCCCAGAGGCAGGAATGTCTCCTGAGCCAAGCCCAGCCCTCCCTGAGCACACTGACCTCTGCTCTCTCCTCAGGGCTTCCTCGTGCTGCCTGTTCTCCTGCTTCCACATCTCCAGCTCGTTCTTCATGGCATCCATGTCCTCCTGGATGTAATCCACGATCCTGCCAAGGGCTAAGGCGTTCTGGCACAGAGTCTGGATGGAGGCCTGAGACTTCCCGATTTCTTTGGCTACCAAGTCCCTCTCTCTCTTCCTGGATCCTTCCGAAACAATTGGCTTCTCCTAAGGGAAAGGATCAATAAGGAAAGCATCAAAATTAGGGAAAAGAATGCTTTGGAGACTGGGAAGGAGCTGGAGAAGTGTTTCTGACAGGATGAAATGGAAGAGAAAAACCATGGAATCACAGAGTGGTTTCAGTTGGGAGGGACCTTAAAGCTCATCCCATGGGCAGGGACACCTTCCACTGTCCCAGGTTGCTCCAAGCCCTGTCCAACCTGGCCTTGAACACTCCCAGGGATGGGGCAGCCACAACTTTCTGGGTAAGCTTTGAAAGCAGCAGCAAGTTTTGGGAGCTCCAGCACCTGCTGAAGGGCAAAGCTTCCTCCTGGTTCTCTAAACCCCTTCTCTCCCTCCACTGTCCATACCTGGATTTCCAGCTAATTCTGGTCCCAGTAACAGCCCTTCCCAGCTCCAATACATGGTGGTGTTTCCCTGCCTTGTCCTCCTGTTAATGGCTGGAAAACCGTGCAGGCTGCAGGTGTGGCCTCAACACACTCCCAAAGAATTCCTACTGCTTCCCTCCTGTGCAGCCAGCAGAGTCTCTGTGGGGCAGCTCCTAAAGCCTCAGGTTACTGCAAGTTAAATAGGAGTTTCCTACAGTGGGAAAGCCAGGAAGAGCAAAGGGATGCCATAAAAAGAGCAAAGTGATGCCACGTTGTTAATTCACTGCAATAAGATTATTTCAGGAAAACCATCACCGTGAAGGAAAAGCCCACTGGTTTTTTTCGTCCCCACCAAGAAAAAACAACCTGGTTTTTCTTTCTTTCCAACACTCCCACAGGTCAAATTCCCAAACCCAGCCCCACAGAGCTGGAAGTGCAGCTATTTAAAGTCATTGAAGATGTGCCAGAAAACTAGAGAGGCCTTTTTCTCCCCCCACAACCGCAGGGTGAACCCATTCCTGGGCACAACTCCTGGCTGCTGTGGAAGCAGGGAGGTGGCAGAGGGCTCCTCCCTGGTGCTGGGACACAGGATCCATCCTCTTCCCAACCTGGCCTGGTTTCCTGTGTGAGCCAGGGGCTGTTTGCTCAGCTGGGTTTTGGAGGCAGCAGCAGCTCCTGCCAAACCTTGGTGAACTCAGAGGCTTTGGGGGAGAGAGAGATGGAGTTAGAAAAGCACTTTGGGCAAGATTCAAAGGCTGAGCTTGCCTTAGGTTGGGCTCGTGCTTTGCCACACACGTGGTGCAGGAAAACAGTGGGATTTGGGAGTTTAGTGGGAGTTTATGTTCCAGTTGTTTCATTAGGAACGGGGCTGGAGTGACAAACGTGCTGAACTCGTGACCTTCGCTTCCGAAGGGGCTCCATGAGCTGCTAAAAACAACACTCCCTGAATTCCCTCCCTCACAGCAGCAGGTGTTTCATTACATACAGCACATAAACCACGGCATTCCGTGTTTTCTGGAGCCATCCATGTGTTCGTTATCCCGTAGGACGCAGGGATGAAAGCGCTGCGCTCTCACTGGGTTTCAAAGCCCTTCTCTGTCCTAACTCTGGTTTCCTACTCCTTGTGCTCCTTTCACAGGGAAGCTTAATCCATGGCACTGGACTTTCCACATGGAACTGGGAAGTTTAAAGACAACCAGCTTCAACTCAGCAGCAGAGCTGGATCAGATCCAGCAGCTTCCCAGGATAAAGTCCCGTTGCCTTGTTTTTCCCAAGTGCTCCAAACGCTCCCCACTTTCCTCCCCACCATCCATTATCCAAAGCTTCAGCCAAGAAATAAGGAATTCATTCCAAGTCCAACCATGTCAGAAGGGAGAAGACTCAGCCAGTCCATTATCTGAGGGTTGGGCTGTGAAAACCCGGGGAATGCTTCCTTTTTATTTTCCAAATGCCAAGTTTGGGAACATTTCCTACGGCATTCTCCTGGAAAAGCTGGCAGCCCATGGCTTGGACAGGTGGATCTTTGCTGGGTTAAGCCCTGGATTGGCTGGGGCCAGGGAACAAGGGACAAGAGGAGAGGGAACAGCCTCCTGCTGTGCCAGGGGAGGGTCAGGTTGGACATGGGGAGGAATTTCTCCATGGAAAGGGTGGTCAGGTACTGGAAGGGGCTGCCCAGGGAGATTTGGAGTCCCCACCCCTGGAGGTGTCCAAGGATGTGGCACACAGTGCTCTGGGCTGGGGGACAAGGTGGGCATTGGGCACAGGGGGGACTCCATGGGCTGGGAGGGCTTTTCCAAGTAAAAATCCCCCAGCTCAGTAAAGAAGCAAACCAGAATTGTGCACTTCAGGTACAGAATATATCTCGATATAGATCTATAAAAGCACAGATCTCTAACACACAGAGCCAGCCAACAATCTGAAATATTCTCCGCCAAAATACAGAGCTGCCTGAAAAGCTCAAGTGGCAATAAAACAGCATGGAATGTTTGGGATCAATCAGGAAAACACCCTTAAAGTACAGCAGCAAATATTCCAAACTAATTCTAGCATCCCAGGAATTTCAGCATGTTCTTTGTGTAGTCGAATTCCTCAAAACTGACATGAAAAGGGCAACATATTGTCCCATCCAAAGTCAGCCACAGAATCCCAGGATCATTAAGGTTGGAAAAGACTTTTAGGGCCACCAGCCACTCTTTCTTCATTTAATTAACACTGCCAAGATCACAGAGTGGTTTGGGTTGGAAGGGACCTCAAAGACCATCCAGTTCCACTCAGGGACACCTTCCACTAGCCCAGGTTGCTCCAAGCTGTCCTTGAACACTTCCAGGGCTGGAGCAGCCACGATGGCACACGTCCTGCAGCTCGGGAACGCTCAGCACGAACCCCTCAGGCTTTGCCAACTCTCACTAATTATAAAGAATTAAGAGGGAGACAAACCCATTACTGTGTGTCCCCAGCTCTGCAGTTACAGTTACAGGTTAAAATCCAGGTGGGACACCCTTGGAAACGCCCAGGAATTCTGGCAGGGGGTTTATTACAGACAAGGTGGGTGGCACAAGGCCCGAGCACAACCTCTGCACAACCATGGAACTGGATATCTCCTGGAGCTGGATTAGCCCAGGCTGTTTCATTAGGCCCTACACCTCACCCAACCCTCCTTTCCCAACACAATCCATAAATCATCCCCACAGAAAAGGCTGGATCACTTCTGGAGGCCCAACACGCCCCCTTTCCTCCGTGTTTGTCACGAGGCACCAAGACCAATGTTTAGTTTGGATTCCCAGGAAAAGGCCTGCCTTTCCCATCCCCTCCGTGCCAGCAGAACACGGGCACCTGAGCAACTGAAGAGCAGGAATTTTCTTTTTTAATCTTTTTTCATCAGTGGGGGGGAAATTACCAACAAGGCTCCAGAAACCACCAGAATTTTTAGAAACAGCCTTTCCTTACTTCTACAGCCACTCCTTTGTTCCCCTTTTTTTATTTAATTAACATCTTTTTAAATATGCATCAAATTAGCCCAAACATCCATCAAGCATTTAATAGTTTCTACAGCCCCTTTTAACTCTACTGTTGTGCCCCACTATGAAAACAGGCCCAAGTAATCAGAGTTTTATTGAGCTCCCCCATCTCCCCCCACCTCTTTCTACGGGACAGGGCAGAAACTTCATTTTGGACAAGTAATTTTGATCCATTCCATGCAAAACCAACAAGGTGGGAGCTTTTTTTTCCTGTATAAAATATGGTTTTGGATCATAAAGGCTGTTTTCTTTTCCTGCTTTTTACAGAGGCTGCATTTTCAGTAGATTGTAACTATCCACGAGGGAGCCCTGTAAGAAACTCTTTCACAGGAACAGGGGGAAACCAGTGACTGTGAAATCATTTGAAATGAGCAGGATGCTTTTCCTGCTGGTGCCAGGTATGGAGTTCAGTCCCAGGCCAAGGAGTTGGAGACACAATGTTCTTCACCACTGGATTTACCAGACTCAGTCTGAGCTGGAAGGCACCTCAGGGGAATAAAAGAATGGATCTTTCAAAGGGGATTTTTAATTCTTCTTTCTTTTTTTTTTTTTCTGGAAAGAAACATTCATATTTGATCCCTCTAAAAAGAGCTGGACTTTGCACTGGACATGGACACCCAGCTCAGCCCCCAGAGCTGCTCTGCTTTCCCTCACACTCAGTCTGTGCTGGGGAGAAAAATCTTCCCCAAATCTCCTCTATTTGGGGCAGAATTCAACACAGTAAGTGGAATCATGGAATTCCAGGCTGGTTTGGATTGGAAGGGACCTTAAAGCTCATCCCATTCCATCCCCTGCCATGGGCAGGGACACCTTCCACTAGCCCAGGGTGCTCCAACCTGGCCTTGGACACTTCCAGGGATGGGGCAGCCACAGTTTCCCTGGGAATTGCATCCCTCACCACCCTCCCAGCCAAGAATTCCTTCCTAATATCCCATCTAACCTGCTGGCAGTGGGAAGCCATTCCTCCTTGTCCCCCTTGTCCTGTCCCTCCATCCCTTGTCCCCAGTCCCTCTCCAGCTCTCCTGGAGCCCCTTTAGGCCCTGGAAGAGGCACTAAGGTCTCCCTGGAGGCTTCTCCTCTCCAGGCCGCACATTCCCAGCTCTCCCAGCCTGGCTCCATCCCTGTGAATCCAGTGAATCCAGTCTGACCACACACACAGCCCAGGAGACAATTCCAGCTGGAATTAATGCCATTAATTGATGGCACATTGGGTGCCAGTCCTGCCCAGCCTTCCTTCCCTGCTCACCCCACTGGAACTCTGCATCCACCAGCTCCTCCTCTGGGAAAAAACCACCTTTTTCCCATTGAAAAAGAACTTGGAATAAACCTGGTCCCTGTGGTAACCAAGCTGTGAGCCCTGTGCTGTGTCCTGGGACACACTCCCCTTCTCCCAGGGATGGAACCACTGCATTCCCACTTCTATCCCTCCCTTCTGGGAACACTTCCATCTGCTGCCTCATTTGGATTTATACTGGACCTACAGGAGAGAAATTCCATGTTTTTGTGTGCAAAGGAGCCAGGACTCCAGGATTATCCCAAATCCTGCCCCTGTGTTGTAACACCACTGCTTGGGGACCACATTATTTACCCTGGGACACCCCAGGATGGTGTGGTTTGTCTGGAAAACCTCTCCCAAATTCTGGGATATCTGAATCCCAATTAACAGCATTGGTTGGAGGGGACACCCCTGTGCTGCAGTTGAGGGATTAATTTAAAAATCACTGGCCTGCAGAGCTTTAAACAACCAGAATCAGCAATAATTATATTTCTTCTAAGCCTCAAAGTGCCCAAGGTACTTTTAATTAAATTAATACATTTTATTATATATTATCTAATACTTACTAATAAGAATTATTAAAATATTTGCTAAAATACTTTAATATTTGTTATTCTTTAATAAAGTATTACCCAAAGTTCCAGCCCTCACAGTCCTATTTTTTATTCCCTTTATTTTCCCAGTTGGCAGAAGGACAAAGCTTTAATGAATATAAGTGGGAAAATACTCCATTTATGTTATATATATTAATAAAATGAGGGAAGATGAACATCCTATTGACAGACACACTTCTCTGTGGATTATGACTCCAAGAAAACTATATTTTTCCCGGAATCATCTTTTCAGGAAAACTACACTTCTCCCCAGATCATGACTCCAGCAAAACTTCTCATCTCCCTGGATCAGGACTCCAGGAAAACTAAACTTCTCCCTGGATCAGGACTACAGGAAAACTACACTTCTCTCAGGACAAGGATTTCAAGAAAATTATACTTTTCCCTGGATCACCTTTCCAGGAAAACTACACTTCTCCTTAGATCATCTTTTCAGGAAATCTACATTTCTCTCTCTCTGGATCAGGATTTCAGGAAAAAAACACTTCTCCCTGGATTATGACTCCAGGAAAACTACACTTTTCCCTGGATCAGGACTCCAGGAAAACTGCACTTCTCCCTGGACCACCTTTTCAGGAAAACTCCTGATCTGTCTGGATCGTGACTTGAGGAAAACTACACTTCTCTCTGGATCAGGACTCCAGGAAAACGAAACTTTTCCCTGGATCAAGATTTCAGGCAAACTACACCTTTCTGTGGATCATCATTTCAGGCAAACGACCCCTCTCCCTGGATCCCAAAGCCCTCAACAGCATCACTGGAAAAGCAGGAGCAGCTCAGCCCCCTCCTGCAGAAAGGCCAGCCCATGATATTCCAGGGGCTCGGGCAGGTTGTCAGTGCTGCAGTGGGAAGTCAGCAGGATTTTTCCAGCCCGAGCTGACACAGCTCAGGGCTCAAAAGGTGCCCCAAACCCCAAGCAGGGACTGAATGGATGTTGGAACGCCCTGGATATCAGAGAAAGGACAATTGGCCTTTGCAAACATTTGGAGGGGTTCAAAGGGCTTTTGTCTTTAGGGTGTTCTCTCCGTCTGAGAGAAAAACCATCCAGAAAATGGAGCACAAACAGCAGGGGAAGCTTCCCGAGCTGGAAATCCATGGGATTGTGTCAATCCTGCCCTGTTATCCCGTTCTGTGCCCTGACAGGACACAGCAACCAGCACAGAGGGACAGTGTGACCTGAGCTGCTAATGCTGCTCCCAAATTTAGGCTGGAGTGATGATCCAACAGCACCATCTAGTCAGAAATCCAGGAACAGAACAGCTTGGCTTGTTCTCCAGGGCTCAGGAATGAGCTGAAGCATCAACACAGCACAATCCACTTTGACCCCTGTTTTGTTTCCAGGGAAATTTCCCCCTCAAGCTCCTGCCAAACAGCCATCAGTGATCCCAGAGCTGCACATTTCTAAGGAATAGGGTGTGATACAGCAAGGTGGATAAAGATGGGTAATTCTTAATGGATTTATGAGCAGGAATCTAAAAGTGTTTTCCTGGTTTTAGAAGGATTTGGTTTCTTCATTCACAGAATCATCACAGACGGGTTGGGGTTGGAAGGACCTTAAAGTTCATCCCATCCCACCCCCTGCCATGGGCAGGGACACCTTCCACTAGCCCAGGTTGCTCCAACCTGGCCTTGGACACTTCCAGGGATGGGGCAGCCACAGCTTCCCTGGGAATTCCATCCCAGCCCCTCTCCACCCTCACAGGGAAGGATTTCTTCCCAATATCCCACCCAAAGCTCCCTGGGTTCATAAACCATGGCCCTTGCAACACATGAAGGGAATTTCCTTCCAGGCAAGCAGGCCTGGGGCTGCCCAGCCAATCCCAAACTTTAGGGAGGAAAATACACCCCCCAAGAGCTGGATCTGCCATCCCAACTTTTTCTTTTGGGAAAGCTGAAAGAGGTAGAGAAGTGGTCAAGGCTCCAAGAGCCACCATGGATTTCAGGGAGCTCTGGGAAAAGCTGGACTCGGGGTCTGAGTTGCAGCATTTCAAACACTCCAGATCATTCCTGACAGAGAACATTGAGAGTAAAAACCTCCAAGGCTGAATGAAGATTAAAAGAAATGAGGAGATGGGGAAGGGAAGATCGAGGAGTTCAGGAAATGCACTCGTTTTCCCAAAAAAGCTGTCTAATTTTGTAAGAGATTTCTGGAACTCACTGTATCCCCTCAGTGCCTCCTCACCAGCACATCCAACCGCAGTTGGAGACTTCCCACAGGGCCAAGGGATCATAAAAGTCAACCTAAAAACTTTGTAAGGTTGAAAAAGCAAAAGCTCTCCAGTTGTAACAGGAAGACACTTAAATTAGGGGGGGTTCAACCTTTTGTGAGCACTCACAGGTCCTTTTTAGACCCTTTATAAAGGAGCAAAACAACAAAAAAACCCCCAACAAAACCCCAGCAAACCCAAAAACTAATTTCCCTTTCCCAACCACTGACTGGGTAAAAAAAAATCACAGCAGCAGACAGAGGAAAAGCTTGGTCAGAAATGGGAAAAAAAACATATTTAAGGTAAAGAAAAAAGTCATGATTACAATCTTTAGTTTCAGATTTCCTTGCAGGCCGTTCCCATCTTACCCTCTCTGTTGTCTGGGATGATTTCTGTGATGCCTCATAATCCTTCTTGGTTTCCAGGATTCTTTTTACCAGCCCACCTGTTGAACAGTCCAGATATTCCTCAGCATTGCTTGGCACTAAACTTGTTTCAAACATTAAAATCAAACCCAACTGCTTCCATTTTTTATAATGCAAACAGTTTTTAGGGCCAGAGGAAGAGCATTTTATTGTGTATTTTAAATCCTGAGATCCAATGTATTTGTTAGTTCCATTTTTTTCTCTGAAGCTTCTCTAGAAGTGGCCCTGAGGGCCAATCCCATCTCAGAGCTGACAAGCTGGACCTGACACTGCAAATGTGGGGAGAGCCCTTCCCAAACTTCATTTGCAAAGCCTGGCCATGATGATGATGATAGATATAAAAATATATATAAAAGCAAACATACCATGCTTCTGATCCTCAACCAGCTCAACTTCAGGCTCCTGAACAGGCAGGAAGAGAGATTTAGTTGGAAAAAGTCGGTGTTGCTGTACAATTATTACAGTTATTCAAAAATACTCAGCTGGAAGCTGCTTAAGTCCATTCCAGAATCCCAGACTGGTTTGGGTTGGAAAGACCTTAAAGTTCATCTCATTCCACCCCTGCCATGGGCAGGGACACCTTTCCCTATCCCAGGCTGCTCCAACCTGGCCTTGGACACTTCCAGGGATGGGGCAGCCACAGCTCCTCTGGGAATTCCATCCCAGCCCCTCCCCACCCTCACAGTCAAGAATTCCTTCCCAATATCCCATCTGGCAGTGGGAAGCCATTCCCCCTTGTCCTGTCCCTCCATCCCTTGTCCCCAGTCCCTCTCCAGCTCTCCTGGAGCCCCTTTAGGCCCTGGAAGGGGCTTCTCAGCTCTCCCTGGAGCCTCCTCTCCACCAAGCTGAACATTCCAAACAGAACACAGAAAAATGTTCTGTAATGTGCACCATGCCCAAACCTTTCTCATGTGTGGCAGAGGCCCTGCTGCCTCCACCACAAACTGCTCGTCCTCCTCCTCCTCAGGACCCTGTTGGTCCAGGATCACGGTCGGGGCAGTTTTGGCGCTGCCGCTCCTGCAGGAGACACGAGGAAAGTGGGAATCTTTGGGAGGTCTGCCCAGACCAAAACTAAATAAGCAACTATAAATAAGCAACTGAAAACCAACTACAATCCCAGAATCTCTGAGGTTGGAAAAGCCCCTCAAGGTCACAGAGTCCAACCTGTGGGCGACCCCCCTTCACCCCGAGTAGAGTCCCCACGAGCAGTGGGGTGACCCCCCGGAGCTGGGGAGGCACAGCAGAGCTGAGGAACAGCTGCTTCCAGAGCCCACATTCCCACCTTTCTGGGAGCAGGGGCTCTGCACTCTCCTGCCGTCTCACTCGGGGAGGGGCCGGCCTGGCACTGCCGGGGCGCGGGATCCGCCTGGAACGACAGCGGGAACAGGGTTCGCACGGGACACACCAACGCTGGGACACAAAGGAATCAGCTGGGGATCCACATCCCAGCTCCTCTCACCCACACATCCCCCCTCCTGATGGAGGCCACGGAACGTTCTTCTCCAACATCCCTCGTGTTAATGGAATCACCTCCCAAACTCCCCCGACCAGGAACAGGACAAGGATAAAAGCCACACCTTTGGCTGGGCTGAGGGGGCACATCGGGAGGCACTTCCCCACCCTCGGGCTTTTCGGGAGCCACGTTCTCCACTTCTCTCCCTGTCAGATAAAATAACAGAACACGGTGGCTTGGCTGGCAAGGAAAAGCTGATTTTCCCCCAACAGTATTCTGAGTTGTACCAGCGCTCATGGAACACAGCAGTGCCGAGCTGCTTCAGTTAGAAATAAAGTCCTACATAAAGCTAAAGATCTTGGGGCCTTGCCAGTTTGTAACCAAGCACAATTCAAAAGGGACAGTGGAAAATTAAAATTTAAAAAAAAAAAAATTTAAAATTTTTTCAAAATTTTAAGACTTCTTAACTGAAAAGTTAAATTTCTTCGGTTTTATATGTTTCTTAATATTGGCAGTTTCCCTCAGCTGTGAAAATACAATGACCTCATTCGATTTTTGCAGAGGATTCTAGGATTTGAGGATTTCTTCTGCAATCCCCCCCTAGTCCAGATATTTAATACTCATAAGGAGAAGGAAGAAGGAAAAAATCACATACTGGCATTCCCAAAATGGAAAACTGACCTTGTATTAACATGGCTGCTCAAGAACTCCCTGGAACAGATTTCAAAAAATTCCCAACAGGTTTTTATTTTCAAGTGAGAACCCACAAAGTGTTTATAAACTCTTTACTTCTGTTTTTTTTTTTTTAACACAAAGCACTTTCATAGATGGCTTTTGGTGTTAAATAGAAACTACTTGGATAAAGTTACTTGAAGCACTTAAACACAACTCACTCGTGTTTTGGTACAGTTTAAAAACTCTTAAATCCATCAAATAAAGGGGGTTAAAAGCATCAGAGAAGTGCTTTATTTATTAAAAAGCCCTTTTTAATAGTAGAAGTTTTTAACTATGTTTGATGCTGGTCTTTTGTCCCTGGGATGTCACAGGGAAAATCATCTGGAAATTACCAATACAGTGATTTTTTTAGATAAATTCAGAAATTCTTTAATCATAATCTGACAAAAGAACTCCATCCAGGACTTGGCAACTACTAACAGGGCCAGGAGAAGAGGGGAAAACACTTCAGCTCGTCCCAAAGTATGCCCTAAATCCCTGAAAACCTTGTGGAAGGACTACCTTCAGCTCTCCTCTGATGAACCTGCTCCAAAGGCAGTTGTGGAAGAGCAATAACTGGGATTTTCCAGCGGTTTCAACTCCCAGTTCCCATTTAATTCCACTGGAATTACCTGGAGCATAAACCTGATGCCCAATGAACCAAGCAAAGGATAAACCTGAGTCATTGCAGGGGTGACTGAGCAAATATGGGAGAGGCCAAAGCACCAGAACACCCTTTTCCAGAGGGCTTTACACACCCATTCCTGATTAGGGGGCTCCCAGAAACCATGCAGGGAGCATTCCTACTGCAGGACACCACAGGAGATCATTCCTATGCTGACAAATTCCTCATTTATAAAGGAAAATAAAAGCACAATGGAAAGGTTCAGAGCCTTGATGCTCCACAATAAAATGTGAAGCAAAATACAGAAATAATACTCTAAAAGAGGCAGGAAAAGAAGTTTATTTCAGCTAAAGAAGTTTCTTTCAGCTAATAAACCATGTTTTTATATCACAGAATCACAGGATTGTTTGGGGTGGAAGGGACCTTAAAGGTCCTGAACCTAAAAAATTAAGGTTCACTAATGCATTGCTGTTCCACTGCCTCATGGAATAAAGCTGAAAATAAAGAATAGTCAACACAATAAAGGTTGGACTTGGAAGTGCTCTTGGAGGTGTTTTCCAACCTTATTTATTCTATGATCCTGAATATTTGGTTCTTCTACCACCTGAGGATCCAATGCAGATCAATAATGGACCTCCAGGTACTCCTCTTACATCCATCCAAAATATAAATAGAGGGACATAAATCATAAATAAATCAAATATACATAAATATTCCAGCACAGACACATTCCAGTGGACAGGGCAGCTCCAACTGATGCCAAGGAATCCATGTGGAAGTTCTTCCAGTTGTGGAAGGTCCCACAAATGTCTTGGCTATCCTTCTCTCCTTCCTCAGACTGACACACGAGGGCTGGGAAACACCCTTTGCTCTCCCACATCCCACATCCCTGGGATCACCTTTCCCAACTAAGCCAAGCATTTGGATCTGGAGAAAATAAAAACGTAGCTTTTTCCTTCAACCTCAGCTCTCCCTCCTACATTTTGCTTTTCCAGGGCTCTGAGGAGCTGGATACAAATATCATCCACAATCCACATCTTTGGGAGCTATGAACAGCTCGGGGAAAAAAGAGGGAGAAATCAGAATGCAGAGGTGGAATTTTCCCCTGGAATCCCGTAAAATGCAAACACTGAGGCTCCCAAACCTGTCCAAAAAGGCCATGTGCACTGACTGAGTTCCTACAGAGGGAATCCCAAGGGATTGAGGTGCAGCATTTTCCTTGAGATGTGGCCTCTTGGAAAACTTCCCAAAGAACAGGAGAAAGAAAATAAAAGTAATTGTTTTATCAAGGAATGTACTTTTTTCAAACCAGCTGTGATTAAAACACAAGGCAGAGGTTGGATGAAGTGTAAATCCCCCTCCTCTAATCTTCTACCTGCATGGATTTGATCCCAAAGCCCCCAGGCTTCCCACGGCACTGGAATTTTACCCTGCCCTACCTTTGTGTTTTCCTGCAGCTGCTGGGTCAGTTCTCTCCTGCAGTTCAGCTCCACCATCCTGGGCAATCCCACTCCTCGTGTCCACAGCTCCTGGAACAAACCAGTTGATGGCCAAATGAAACCACAGAGCCAGGAAAAAAGGGCTTAAGGGCTATCCCAGTGTGACAAACCCCCCTCAGTGGCAATAAATCACAGCCCAAGTGCACAAAGGCTCTTCCAGGGGAGCACTGGGGGAACTCCTGATGTTCCTGCAAATTCGTGGCAACTCCTTCCATTCAAAACAATTTACAGATATTATTTATTAGCCTGGTCAAACAATACAATAATAAGAGCATTTGATTACTACTAATTATTCTTAATTAATTCCCCAAGTTACAGGGGGATGCTGGTGACAAAAGTAAAGTAAGACACAGTGGGAAAAGGCTGAAATATTCAGTATAAATCTGATTTTTAACTGGAGAAGAGACATTCCCTCCTTGATTTCCAGTGAATATTAGATAATATAGAAAGTGCTGATCATCACTACCACTGTGCAAGAAGCATCAGCCTCCAGGATGTTTTCCTACCCTCTGGATTCCTCCCTGGAATATCCTGAGCTCTGTTTACCTATTGCAGCTCCCCCCCAAAAAGGGTAATTCCCCAAAATATTTATGGCTCTGGTAAACTCCAATTTTGAGTGTCCTGCCCCAGGAAAAGAGGAGGATTTTCAATTATCTACCTCAAAGCCTGGATTTCATCATTCAGGAAAAGTGGATTCTGATTTTAAGGGACAATCCTATAAATGGGGAGTGTGTGTGTCTGGTCACTGCAGTTTTTGTGCCAGATCAGGTTCTAAAACAAAGATTCCAGTCTTGGGAAATAAAAGAAGTTATAGGATCACCCAAGGATCACTAAGGAATAAAATAAGACTCTATTTCATGGAATCCAGATGGTAATTTTTTAGCTGCAAAACTATTAAAACCTCCCAGCACTTGAGATGTGATGTCATAATTTCAATTTCCCGGCACCGACTTGGATTAAGCTCCTAAATTAACACAGATCCAAAGTGCCAGGGCTTTTCCAAGGTATTTGAGGTGCATTGTCCTGAAATCAGGACTGAGAGACCTTCAGTATTTTGGACATGGAAACCTAAAACAAAACCCCAAAGAAAATGTGGGGTCTGGGGAAGATTCAGCAACACTCAGCTCTTTGTACTAATTAATAACAGTGACATGGGTAGATGAAGGGGATGAAGACCTTCCTGAGTCTAAAAAGCACCAATTTTTAACCAGAACTGGCTATTTTTCAACAGGGATCAATAACAGGGGGCATTTTATCTCCTGAACAGAGACATTAAAGTGATTTCTGGACTTCTGGGGTAAAACTAAAACATCATCAACCACCAAAGGAAAATTAGAATCCACCAGGTCACCGAAATAAAAGTGGGGGGAGAGGGAAGGCATTTATTTAAAATGTATTTCTTTCTTCATTTTATTCGGTAGAAACGAGGTCTGGGGACCAGTCAGTTTTATTCCTTATCCTTGTGTTTCTCCAGGCATTTCCTCTTGGTTTCCCATACAAAGCTTGGATTCCTTTCTTCCTGATGTGTAACTATTAAGCACTTGGAATATTCGGAAGACAATCTAGTTCCATATATTAAATATTTAATATATTCCTATACAAAAGCTGGCGAAATAACCAGTGGAAACGAAGGACCTCGACAGATAAACAACTGGATTATTTGGAAAGCCTGGCTTAATGTCCATTAAACTCAGTCCAAACCACTTGAAGATTAAAAACTTCACTGAAAGCTTGTCTGGAGAGACAAAACTGCAGGTGTGAGATGGTTCCTGCTGGTTGTCCCAGCTGTTAAACAGCTCCAGGGAACAAAGCCAGAGGTTTCCACCCGAAGGCACTACAATCCATACCCGGCTCATCTTCCCTGCTCCAACTCCCACCACAACGTTCCACCTGGAATATTTGAAGTGTCCCAAGCTATGGAAATCACTCACAAAAAGCTTTGGCTTGGCTTGAATTCCTCCAACTGGCTTTTCAACTCAAGGAAACCCAGGAAGTGGAACACGAATACGGAACAAACATCCCGGGAAATTCCTTTTTGCACCAGCAAAAAGTTCATCTCTGGGAATCCCAGAAGCACTGAGGCTGGAAAAGCCCTCCAAGATCATCAAGTCCAACCTCTGGCCTTGCCTATTTGGTTGGTTGTTTGAAAAGATAATATTTGTTAACAAAAACCCACCATTTTTAACCCCAAGAATTCCTAAAGAGCAAAGAGCAAGATTTCAGATCCTTGACAAATGACTGAATGATTCAGAAAAGAAGTGAAGTTTGGATTCCCTGTGTATATTTTGGAAGAGCACTCTCCTCAAATACCAGTGAGTGATAAAGTTACAAATTTAGAGTTCATAGCTGTAGGATTCTTATACAGAAAAGCACATTTTGCCTCACAAACCCCTTTCATCTTCTAAAACAACCTTAAATGACATATCCTAAGCCTTAGTAAAGCACTGTGCTTTTACAAATTTTAAATTTACAAATGTTAAATAAGCCAGGAACAGTTGCAGACAAGTCAAAAAGTCCATTTAGAGAGAACACAATAATTACCAAGAGAAGAGAATTCATCCCTGCACGAGAAATGTGAGCAAACTGAACCCAATTTCACTTTTTCTGGACCAAATCCAGGCAGGAAAATTGCCTCTTGGATTCATAAATGCAGGCTGGGAGTATAAACCGAGGCCTAACAATAATAAACAAGGATATTTCAGTATTTCTGCTGTTTCTATTCACTAACCCTCCAGCACATTGAATAGAAATAATAATATCCTCCCTCTGGTTACCTTCTCCTCCGGGTTTGGAGCGATGCCTCGATCCTTTACTTGAAGGCTGCCTTGATATCCCTGCAGGACTTTCACTCTGGAAAACAAATTCCAGAAATTTATACAACTGTAGATCTAAAAATCCTATAATTATATCTAAAATTGACTTACACGTGTTGCTTTTTCACCTGTATTTCTTCTGCATCGAAAATATTCTCTTCAGAACTGACCCACACATTTTGGGTGTGTTTCCCTCAAAGTTTGCAGGTTTTTTTCCTGGGTATATCCCAGGTCAGACTTCCTTAGTGTAAAACCAACTTCCAAATGTGAATGAGGAGTACCCAACCCTGTGGAAGTTGTGGAGTGCCCATGATGCCACTGCTGGTCTTGGAATCTGATGTTTGGCCCCTAAAAGGAGTAAAATGCTTCCAATCCCCTCCTAACCTGCCGGGAAGCCTTTTAAATTTCATTCCAAAACAGAAGCAAGGATTAAACAATTGTCCTACTGGGCTTCCATAGTCTATCACTCAAATGGCAACTTCCTTGGATAAAGATCCTGGACAAACTAAGGGGGTGCTGCCAGAAAGTCCAGCAGACAATGGATGATCCGAAGGTGCAGCTGGTCCAGGAGGGAGGGGGAGAGTTCCCAAGGGGAAAAGATGAAACTGGAGGAAACTTCAGGATGTTTCTGAGGACCCTGACCTTGGTGTGGAGGCAGAGAGGCCAGGAAATGAAGGCAGGGAAGCACACACTGGAATGATCCTGATCTCCCTGGATGCAGCTGGCCCTGCCTCAATCCAGGAACACCTGACTGACAATTCCTTCTGCACCTGGCAAGGCTCCTTGGAAAGGAGCAAGGCTGCAAGTTGGGAAAAAGACGTGCAAAAGCAGCAATTCCTTTGGGATGAGATGCCAGCATTCCCAGGGGATTTGCCACTCGCTGTGCCTGGAGCACAGCAGGGGCCAAAGGAATCCAGAGAAGGTGGAAAGGAGGTTCCTGCCAGCCCAAGGAAACTCCTGGGAATGGGAGCAGGGGGGGAAGGAGACAGCCCATCCCCTTACACCCATCCTGGCTCCCACAAGGGGATCCTGCTTCCATGTGGACCAGAGCATGGAGCCAGTGGTGGGATCTGGCCCTCACTGCATGCAATAAACCAGTTTCCAGCTTCCAACAAGTTTCCAGCACGGATGGGGCTTGGAGCAACCTGGGCTAGTGGAAGGTGTCCCTGTCCATGGCAGGGGGTGGAACCAGGTGGAACCTGGGATTCTATGATTCCACGATTCATGCTTCCAACAACTTCCCTGCCCTTATCCCTAAGTCCCTGATTTCCTTAGCAAAGGAAGTAACAATCTCTGAACACACCAAGGTGAAGTTCCAGGTGATTTGTAGAATTCCACTTTATGTTTCCAGGCTTTCTATCCCAATAATCTCTGCCCCCTATCCAAAATCCTGAAATATGTGTAGCACCTCACAGGATTTCCTTCCTCATGTGCTTTTTCTGGGGAGTTTGTGACTAATAGTCCCTGAAGTTTGCATCCAAGATTTATTCCAGCCCTGCTGATAATCACAACCCTTAAGGTTGGAAAAGACCTCCAAGTTCATCCTGCCCAACCTTCAATGTCCATGTGTTTGACCTAAAAATGAGGGTTACAAATTCTTCCAGTTATGCCAACGTTAACCCTGGATGTTCCACCGACCTGCAGGAGAAAACTGTCAAATCCCACCATTAATTTTCCAGAATATCTTGCACACAGGACAATGGCCCATTCATGGCATAATGGATAAGGACACAACAAGATGCTCTGGGTTGGAAAGGACCTTCAAGCTCATCTCATTCCACCCCCTGCCACCTTCCACAAGAAGGTTCCTCCTCTTGAGGAAATACAAGGAAAACCAGACAGAATTCCCTCAGCTAACACTGAAGTGGTTCATCTTCATCATCTTTAATTACTTTCCCAACCCCAAGTCTTTGCAAGGAGGAAAAGTGAAGCCCATCTGGCACATTCCAGCTCCAGCAGCTCCTGGGTGATGTCATTAATTAGCACAGGGAGCTGGGAAGAGGTGCTGAGGCTTCTGGAAAAGTGGATTTAGTTTATTGATGTCAGGCAGGGGCTACAAATACTGGTTTTGCAGAGCCACTGGCAGCAGGTGCAGGGTAAAAGCTGACATTTCCTCAAAAAAAACCTCCAAAATCCCACAATATTTATGATTTGGGGCTTTCAAAAGGGAGAGAAAAGAGGTCATTCCCCTTCTTAGGGATTCACAGGCTTTGAAAAGCAGCCACTGGAGCCATTAAAGGGAAATCTTACACTCCATCCTGGAAAAAACACATTCTATGGAATTCTTGATGGATGGATGCTTCCCATTTTTGAGTGATTATGGAGAGGATCCAGCAAACCATCCATTCTGCTGCTCTGGCCTCATTATTAACCTTTAAATAGGTTGAATTTCACTTTAAAATGTAAGAAAACAAGTTTTTCTGATGTCTCAGAAATCATTAGATAGTTTCCCCCTCCAATTCATCAGCTCCACTGATAGGTAGATAATAATAATTAAGAATAAACAAATAATAAAAAATAAGAATTAAGTGTGTGAACCGAAATTTAATTCAACCAGCCCTCAGAAATACTTTTTTTTCCTACTTAGATCCACAGGGCCAGGAGGTGTATTTGCATTTCTACCAAAAATAACGTGTGCAAGGATAATTTTATATAAATTAAACATACATAAAGGGAGATCTTGACTTGCTAAGGCCAACTGAAGTGCTGTGGGGAGGAGACTTAGCAGGAGAACATCAATCAATTATCACTTGTGAAGCCTCACAAGATGATGTTCATCTGCACACAGAAAGATTAGGAAAATCCCTCTTTTTGAAGTCTAAGTTGAAATGATGGCTTTCTAACACACTGACACCAAAAAGAGGGGGTCATTCCCAGCAGATTTCCATGGAATGATTCTCTCTGCTGGCTTTTTTTGGTTCCATAGTTTGCTATAACATCCAATTAAGCTCTGACAGAAAGAGAAGTTGGTCAGGTCTGATTCAAGGGACCATTTCCAGAGCACTGTGCTTTGCAGGGCATCAATAAAACTCATTTTCCAAGTGGCCAAAAGTGACAGGATATTACACAAAGCTTTAGCCAAGAGCTTCAGCAGCCACAGGAAACATGGAGGAGCCTTTTCCAAGGTGTTTGGCCCCAGGGACAAATGACAAACCTGTTCTGTTCCACTTCCAGCCCAACAGCACCATGTGCTCCATGACCTCCAGCACCTTCTGTGCAAAGATAAAGTGATCCTGATTATTTAGAAGGTCAAACAAAAGCCATTTTAAATATGATTCTTTTTTTTACCTGAGGTGGACTGAGAGAGAACAGAACAACCCAACCCTGATCCCAAACTGTGGAATGCAAGAGCCAGCCTTGAGGCAACTTCTGATTGCCATGTGTTGCCCAAATGTCTCTTAATTCCTACTTATCCTTGCTTTCTTCTAGCTCCAGAAAATTAGAGATACCCATGGGATGACTATTGCACAACACACAGAGTTGCTTTAGTGACAGAAAAATACACTGAAATTAAAAAAAATAATAAAGTCAACCTGTCAAAATTTACGTAGATTTTAAAGCTTGGATAATTAGCAACAAGAGGAATTAAGACTTGCACGAATACACATTAAGATCCTTAATTTTATAGGAGCAAAGCCAGGAGCTAAACTTTGAAGGCTTTGCTGTACATGTAGAATATGAATTATAAAAAGCTGAACTGATTTGTTTTCTAAAGGAAATGCAGAGAAAAGGTAAAAAGGTTCGTCCTCAGGGCAAAAAAGAGGGGTTGCCTCCAATTGTTTCACTTCTCTTATAGTGAATACATATATTGTATAACCATATATATAAAACATAGTTGATGATTGATGCTGAGGATTTATTAATTCTGCAGCAGACACTGCAAAATCCGAGTCAATATTTGCCACGTGCACAGGGGGAACTTGTTTGCCTTCCTTTGAATCCATTTGTTTCACTGCCACGTGAGTTCAATGGAGCTACAGTGGTGAAAAGAGGGCAAATCCCTGGAAATAAAGGCATTACCTTGCTGTGGATTCTAATTATTTCATGCTGGAATTTCCTCTGTTTCACTCTGTGCAACTATCACAGCTCGAAAAATTCACTGGGCACATTTTAATCTCTTTTTCCTCTTCCACAACCTTAAAGATGAGGAACCTTTTGCCCTGCACTGCTTTAAAGGGTGTGTTTTCATCACCTAAATAACAATAAATCAGCAGCCTCTGCTCTTACACAAGCAAACAGGGGCAAGAATGTCCTCTAGATCTCAGGGAATAAAATCCACTTCCAAGCCTTGGAATCCCTCCCAAAAGCACTTAAGAAGGGAAATGAAACTTGCCTGCCCCCGTGTAGGATTGTGGTGCCCAAGAGCACAACGAGAGCTTGGGACGAGGCTCAGAATTTCCATTAGAGCCCCAATTTGCAGGAAGTTTAACTTGGCCAGGAATATTTGCTTGGGGCTAAAAAAAACCCTTCTTTTATAATCTCTGCCTCCAAGTGCCAGCAACTTAAGAAGTTTGCTTGGATTTCAGTCCAGGAAGAGCTCTAAATTCGTCACCCCGTGTGGAAGACACGGTGATGTCAGCGGGTCGAGACTCCTGTGAGACTGGGGCTCCTGCCTCTCTTTTTCCTTAGGCTGAGCTGCTTCAGCTTAATTCCCTGAAGTCTCACTGTCTAAATATGAAGCCATCTGTCTCCCTAACTCCCCACATGGCCTCATGTCCCCGGGAAGCAGCAGCTGGAGACACAGAGGTATCCCAAAGAACAGCTCCTGTTCCGAGGCGCTCCCCGAGCTGCTCCCATCATCCAGCTACACAACAGGGGCCCTGAAACAACAGGGGGTTTCTTTTCTTTCCAAAACAGTAGCTCCTGTTAAAGCATAACAATAAATGAAAAAACCCAACAGCTTTCCAGGGAAGGTCCTGAGGAACAAGGAGAAACCCCAGGGCAGGGGGTTGGAAGGAGATGAGCTTTAAGGTCCCTCCCAACCCAAGCCATTCTGGGATTCTGTGAGCTTGGAACAAACCAGTATTTTTCCTGGAGTACCCAACATATCAACACCCAGGAATAAAATCTGAAAAATGAAATAAATTGAGTGGATTTTTTTTTTTTTTATCCAAGCTCAGAGAAATTCTTAATAAATAAATAACCAACCAACCAACCAGACAAGCATCTGTTCTGTGTAGTTTACAGCCCTAAAACTTGTTATCTACCTACTTTTCAATCAAAATATTTCCAAGGAGACTCCCAAATCATTCTAAAGTGCAACACTTTCAACATTCCTGTATTTCCCACTACTAACCTCATTATCTGGCTGGCACTGGCTGTCTTTAGTTGGCCTCTGTGTTTTCCTAAGTGTGGATTCCTCAGGATCTGTGGGCTGTAAAAGGAATGAGCTGGTTTAGATTCAATGGGTTGAGATTCACCCAAATTAAGCTCCCTCTGAACAGAAGCATCTTTGATGTCCATCAATCCCAAATTTCTGCCATGAAGAGGGGAACAGGAATTATTTAGAGGAGAAAGGGAAGATAAGAAGAACAACGAAACAAAAGGCAAGGAAGAGATGGTTCTTAAGGCAGTTTAGGATTTAGAATCAGGGAATCCCAGGATGGTCTGGGTTGGAAGGGACCTGAAAGCTCATCTTGTTCCAACTGACTCCACAATGAGGCCT